AATCTTTATTTATACAGAGTCTATGAATTGTATGGACATTGAAAGAACTGGGGGGTCTCACCGTCATTTAAGCGGTCGCAGGTAGGTTTTCACTATGTATTTCTTTTTTTGGGGCTTTCCATAAATATTTCTATTTATATTTCTAATTTTTTCTAGAGTAATCGGTTTGTGTTTTTGTTTTAAGAAATATTAGATATAAAATTACAGTTTTGATGTCGTTTTATTGATAAAAATCTACATTACATAAAGAAAAATATGCAAATTACATAAGCATTAATTGATAAGGGAATTTATATTTGAGGACAACGAGAGTTTAAGACAACTTGAAAGGGTCATAAAACGATTTCCTACGTATCGTTTCACTCCGTTCAACTATAAAAATCATGCTTTTAATGTTATCAAATATTATATTTTATAATTTTCAACTAAATTTGAATATCGAATATCGAATAACGAACCGGCTGCTAACTTCCATTATTTCTTCAAGTACTTAGAATATTTAAATATATTTACCTATTTGAAAGACGAGCATAATGTCAAATAATAAAAAAAATACAAATTGTTTAGTCCCTAAGAAAACTTGTAAGATTTTCGCTGCTATTTTTGCTAAATAGGTGCAATTTGGGTACTGTGACTTTAGGTCTAAATTTTAACACAATTTCAATAAATGAAAGGGGTGTTTTTAAAGCTGGCAGCACGACTGTATCGAACAACTTTTTTTACTCCCCCCCCCCCCCCCCTCCCCACACTACATTTGTTCGGTGCAGAAAAAGAAATTCATTCATGACCGAATAATCAGGACGAATACTCATTGAACAATAAAAAATGTAACAGGTTTAGAAAGTGAGTCAGTACGGATTTTGTTGCCAGGCGGAAGTATTCCAAAAAAAACACATATTTCAATTACCGAGTCAACCCTTTGTGCGGAATTTGACATCAAGAGAACATTAAACATTAAAATATGTAAATGTTGCAAATCAATTAAAAATATGAATTGCGTAAAGATATTTATTGGTCAGATGTTAAGTTTAAAATATTACTTTCGGGTTAATATATCAAAAAACTAGTGTACACATTACTGCACAACACAATGTACAAGTCAAATAAATCTCGCTAAAATGTAACAAAGTCATGTTTGCTTTAGGTAATATCTAAATTAAATGTTTTGAAATTCCAAATGTTTTAAAAGCATTAATTTGTAAGAGTGTAAATAATTGACGCTTACATAACAACGTTGTACAAAGGAAAAAATACTGTTGTATACTAGGTAAATTATTTGTTTAGATCTACTTACGTTAGTTATATATCCAAAGTAACAATAGTGCCGTTAAAGAATTGATTCCGGTATTGAAGGACCTAGAATATATTTTTACTCGGGTCTTGTCAAAATACATCGCGTAAAAAAAGTGCAGGAAGATCAGTTGCATTACACTCACATCCCCATTGGTAGTTTTAGAATTTTACCTTGTGCAATCAACAGGATTCGGATACCAATAAACCCTGCTATAAGCACCAGTTGGACAAAATATTACCTCCCCTGTAAACACCGAAAATTAGATCTTCTCAATGTTTGTCCCGCTTTAGCAAAGACGCTACCAATTATGAATTTACGAGAAAACGTTCTGGTAAACAGTAAACATAGAAATAAGTTGAAATAAAAACAAAACTTCCTTTTAAAGTTATCATTTTCCTCCTTGCATAGCAAACGACGAGTACAGCAGGCTATAGGAGCTTGATGTAAAATTAGTTTAAAATGTTGCTATACAAAATATTCCTGGAGTACCAACTTCAGTTTATGTTTCTACTGGCTGTATACCTCTCTGGAACATGCTAATTATCTGTATATATGTAGGACTCTAAAGTGCGATGGTACTCTAAAGTGCGATGGTCACGCTAAAGTACGATGGTATACGCTAAAGTGCGATGGTGTCAAATGCTAAAGTGCGATGGTATTACACGCTAAAGTGCGATAGTATAACACGCTAAATTGCTATAGTATAGCACGCTTAAGTGCGATGATGTAACGGGAATGGGGTTCAGGCAATGGTTTCGTTTGTTGCTGTGTTTCTATTAGTGAAGATTTTCGTTTATTATTATGTTTATTAATCAAGCCGTTGTCTTTTTCTTTTGATTTGTTTTACACTTGTCATTGTTTGGCCCTATATAGCTTCCTATGCGGCGTGGACCAAGGCTCCACGTTAAAGGCCGTACAGTTATTAGTTGCATATATCAATGACATTTGTTCTTGGGTGGATATTTGTCTTATTATTTTTATTTAAAGTACGATAGTTGTCAAAAGAGTGTTATGGTTACATTGCAGTAGCTATAGTATATACTTTATAAACCTGTCTCAAGCCAGCAACCTGTAATTCAGTGGAAGTCGTGTGTTGCTGTATTTCATATTTGTTTTCCGTTTATTGTTTTGTATATAGTCAGGTCTTACACTGGTCGTTTTGTTGCCCTTTGGTCTTTATAAAATAGTATGCGCTGTTAGCCAATGCTCCGCGTTAAAGGCATGCGGTTCCCTATAGTTGCTTACAATAATGACATTTGGCCTAGGATGGAGAGTTGTCTCATTAGCTCTGGTTGTTAGGTTACTGTCTAGTTAACGTATATCCATATCTTTAACAGAAATGACGAACAATATTGTAAAAAAAATGTTTTATAGTCTAAGAATGATTTCATTAGAAAGTACAAAAGTAGACTTTATTTCATGCAAGTTCATAACATGTAACTACAAACATAGAAGGAGCTGCTAAATTAAATTTGGACGAATTCAATTCCTCAACGTCCAAGTGAGCCATCTCCAGAATGTCTTTTCCTCTTTAGTTAATTGAATTACATTTTGCAACCTTAACATAAATAGTAGAAATACTTAAATTATTTCAGTATAAATGATCAAATGGTCATGCGTATGATCGTTCTGTATATATGCATGTGATATTTGCCACTGTATGTTCAACAAGCAAAAATTAGTTTACATTACTTTAATTTATTAATTTATTTTACCGAACTACTGGAAAATATGATTTCAAAGTGTTTTATACACAGCGTCACTTTTACGGTAATCCGCTTTATCATTTTTGTTGATTTCTACTGTTATCGGGAAAACGCATTTTAGCGTATTGAGGCATCGGACTTTAGCGTGTTCCATTATATAGCACAGACCATCGCACTTTAGCGTATCAAACCATCGCACTTTAGCGTAGACCATCGCACTTTCGCATGACCATCGCGTTTTAGCGTCCCCATCATACTTTAGAGTCCTACATATATATGCAGCTAGATCATAGAAAGTCGGGGGAAATATTCCAAAGGAATCGATAGATATGCAGTAAAGATAAGCATGTTTGAAATGATGTAACTAAGCAAATTCAAACGGACCTTATCTCGATGTAAACATTGAATGTGAATAGATCGAGAAGAGCGCAAATACATGTACAAAAATCGAGACGGCCTTTTCTTAAAATTGTATAAAAAATAGTAGAAAGATACCTACTTTATAAGAATAGTTATCTTTAATTTTTTAACCTGCACAGACAGAATTCTAAGTTGTTATATTGTAATATTTCTATATCACCGGTGCAGACCGGTGTACTCGAAAACTTAGATGTGAAAAATAATTATAAAAAGAAGATGTGGTATGAATGCCAATGAGACAACTCTCCACAAGAGACCAAATGACACAGAAACTTACAACTTTAGGTCACCGTACGGCCTTCAACAATGAGCATATAGTAGTCAGCTATAAAAGGCCCCGAAATGACAAATGTAAAACAATTCAAACGAGAAAACTAACGGCCTAATTTATGTACAAAATAATGAACGAAAAACAAATATGTTACACAGCAACAAACGACAACCACTGAATTACAGGCTCCTGACTTGGGACAGGCACATACAGAATGTGGTGGGGTTAAACTCGTTTGAAGGCGCCAACCTTCCCCCTAACCTGGGACAGTGGTGTAACAGTACAACATAAGAACAAACTATAAAAATCAGTTGAAAAAGGCTTAACTCATCAGATGGATACAAATAGAAATACATCTAACAAAAACACAGAAGTATATTTTGGGGAATTGTAACATGCTAAGGACTTTGTGGAACACTTCGAAAATTGGTGATTTTTAGATTTTGTATGTACAGGATGTTTTCCTTTTTTTTTCTTTTTTTTTTATCAATATGCAGCAAAGATTAGCATTTTAAGATTTCAGTTTCACAAGCTTCTTATGCAATTATCTCGATAAATACCGAACATAAAACATTGTGTATTTGCATATACACTTCTAATAACACAGTTTAACAAATAATTTCTTTGAAATGTACAATCATTATTTAGAAATTACTTTTGATCAGTATCGTCACCGGCATTATTTTACTATTTACTTTCTCGACTCTATCATAAGAAGAGTGAATTTTCTATTGTTTTCGACTTTTCGTTCACTAGATTTCCCCCTGATTCTGTACAGCAGATGCAATAGTTACTAATAATTGCTGTACACTATTGCAAAACCCCTGTATATAATGGCAATCAAACTACAGACACAAACCGGCTGTACACGATTGTAAAAACAATACGTTTAAGGTATTGAGAACACTGATCCGATTTAATTTCTTGTAGTGATAGCCGGTTATTTGGTGTGTAAATGGAGATATCTATGTTCTTTGTAAATCTACAGAAATTTACAATTTTCTATAAAAAAGGACGGTATAAATTATATGAGAAAGTTTGTTTCACAATCATTGTACTCGCCTACATCTTCCTGATCGCAAGTCTTTTTTTATTTGTTTATTTTACTAGATTGCATTCAATGATTTATAACAAACTTTCTGTTATTCAAATTTAAGGAAAAACCAGACATCATCCCGTTCATGGTACACATTTTAAATATTGGATTATAAGCAGGTCAACAAGATGTTAACGATAAAAAAAAACCACAAACCGACTCTGTCATCAATATCTATTTACTGTTATCAAAATTACAAAAGGTTAGGGAAGGCTTCTTCGTACAAAGGTTACTTGCGAAATAACGAACAAGACACGTATAAAAGGAGTTGGACAGATTGCAACTCCCTCAAAGCTGCAGTGTTACATACATCAACAGTCTATTAACTTAGTTATTTCAAACAGGTAATTCGTTTTACGATACATTGGGAACTAAATCAGCCTATTCATCATTTAATTTTTAATTTTCCAAAGAATGTTTTTTTTTCTTTCTTAATTCATTTTTTACATGATGAAATTAATTAACGTAAATTATTCTAATTTTCTTTTGAATAAACCCGTGGTAAAAAAATTGCAAAAAAAAAACCGTGTTCTTCTGTTTTTGATTTGGAAGATTATTTTTTGAAAATTATGATATATACAAGAAGCGATTAACATTTTTGCTGATATTTTTGTACTGTTCATCTGGTTTTGGTTTATTTCTTTCAAATAAATTTGTATTTGTTTTCTTTTTATTTAGATTTCAAGTACTGTTGATGTAATCAATTTTATTAAAATTATTTCAATATTTGTTTTGTTTAGTTTTCAATTATCATTATTATTTAAATCTTGAACTAATTTGTATTGTACTATTTGTAAATATGCGTTTAATTTTATAGAGGGAAAACATAGAAATGGACAAGCTGTCACTCGTAACTTTAATTGCCTGTCTTGTATCTATTAGTATAGTTATGCAAGGTAAGACATTTTTCTTTAATTCTATTTTTTGGAAACACGCTCAAATTGTACGGAAACATTGTTGTGCTACATTTTTTTTTACTATTTTCCTTATGTTGGTTCGCGTTATAGAAAATCAATTTCATAGCCTAAAGTGAAATAAAAAGAATACCGAACTACAAGAAAAATTCAAAACGATAAGTCTATTATCGAATGACAAAATCAAAAGCTCAAACACATCAAACGAATGACTTCGTTCAGACATTTCCTTATGTAAAAAATAGTCAGTTCCTATTTCTTTGGTTTTTGAAATTACTGAATATGACTAATCACTGCCTTTTTACAAGATGAACACGTAAGGCGTCAATATAGGTGCTGATTACCCTTCCGGAGCACGGAAGTTCATGCCCCGTTTTTATGTACGTTTGTGTTGCTTTTGCTGTAGTTTAATGTGTTGTCTTCAATTTATTTATGTTTTATGTTTTGTTTTTTTATTTCTTTCGGTAGCAGCTCGAAAAGACTTATTTTTATTTCAAACTTTAGCATTTAGTGTTGTCTAAGGAATTTTATAAGTACCGATGTTTTGTTTTATATTTGCTAATGTCTAGTTGATCCCCTTTTTCACTTTGTTACTTTTTGTATAGACATTGGATTAAACAAATTCATTCTTATCAAAAATGATATTTTTTCAAAAACAAAAATATTTGTAGTGTTTTTTTTTATTATTTCGGATGTATCTTCCTGTAACCAACATTGTTTTTTTAGTGTGAATAAATGATAGCTTTGGAAATTATCTAACTCAAATTCAAATCAAAATCGATGCGGACCTATTGTTGAGAGAATTGTCTAGAGCACAATGTTCAAATAACCCTGTTAAATAAAGCCGATCGACTGAACAAAAAATTGAAAACAACACGTTTAATAATTTCATGCGTTATAGGTTGTCTCAAATCAGAGCTGCTGATAAACGGTTAGCACCACAAGTATTGTGTTTAATTAAATATTTTTGATCACAAGTCTGGACGAAGATTAAAATTGAAATTGTAAGATAATGCAACCAAATAGATACTAAGTCTCCTCTTATATTCGGTAACTTTCCCATTCTTATAAGAAGGTGCAATAAAAGCATGACCATTTCACGTGATCAATTTACCTCACATGTTACCGATGAATTATTTCTTGGTTAAATAATTGTTTCTCTTCGTTTGTTTTCTTAAAGAAGGTGTTGTCTAAAGGAAGACCACTCATTGGTCGTTCGGTTATCTATCTTAACAAAATGGACAGGATAAATCTTGTCCATATTGTAGGACCATAAATTCATTTATACTCAGCATAAATACATAAACATGTACTAATAATTCATTATTTAGGAGCTGACGCGCAAGATTGTGCTACTCCAAAAATAACCGCATGCACCACAACCTACACCGGCGCGGTAGCAGGGGCCGCAGGAGACAAGAAGAAAATATGCAGGTTAGACTACTTTTTATGTACACTTTTTGTTTTATGTCTAATCCATTTAAGTTAACTTACTTTATAAAACTGTAAAATAATTTGATGGCTTGTATGTATTATTATATTGTAAAACGTAAACATGCATTAATGACAATTTGTATTCCTCTATAAAGCATCCTACCAAATGAGAATTAGCGATAATAGCCATAATAGATGTATCCCTCTAAATCAAATTAAGGACAAACGATGTATTATTCTAGAGAGCATGCTGTTAAATGAGAATTATAGAGATTAAAATGTATTCTTCTATAGAACATGCTTATAAAATGAAATTAGTGATGATAAATGTATTCCTGTAAAGAGCATGATGCTCAATGAGAATAAGGGATTATAGATGTATTCCTCTTTATAGCATGCTGCTAAATGAGAATTAAGGATAATACATGTGCATTGTATTTGTCTTAAGAGCATGCTGCTGGTGTAAAGAGCATGCTGTTAGTGTAAAGAGCATGCTGCTGGTGTAAAGAGTATGCTGCTAAAAGAGAATTAAGGATAATAGATGTATTCCTCTTTATAGCATGCTGCTAATTGAGAATTAGGGATAATACATGTGCATTGTATTTGTCTTAAGAGCATGCTGCTAGTGTAAAGAGCATGCTGCTGGTGTAAAGAATATGCTGCTAAAAGAGAATTAAGGATAATAGATGTATTCCTCTTTATAGCATGCTGCTAAATGAGAATTAGGGATAATACATGTGCATTGTATTTGTCTTAAGAACATGCTGCTGGTGTAAAGAGCATGCTGCTAGTGTAAAGAGCATGCTGCTGGTGTAAAGAGTATGCTGCTTAAAGAGAATTAAGGATAATAGATGTATTCCTCTTTATAGCATGCTGCTAATTGAGAATTAGGGATAATACATGTGCATTGTATTTGTCTTAAGAGCATGCTGCTGGTGTAAAGAGTATGCTGCTAAAAGAGAATTAAGGATTATAGATGTATTTCTCTTTATAGCATGCTGCTAATTGAGAATTAGGGATAATACATGTGAATTGTATTTGTCTTTAGAGCATGCTGCTAGTGTAAAGAGCATGATGCTATTGTAAAGAGCATACTGCTGGTGTAAAGAGCATGTTGTTAAAAGCTTAAGAGAATTAAGGATACAAGATGGATTTCTCTTTAGAGCATGCTGCTGAATGAGAATTAGGAATAATAACTGTGTTCCTCTATAGCGCATGCGTCCAATGAATATCCGGGTTAATAGATGTAATCATATGTATAGCATTCTTCCATATTAGAATGAGTGATAATAGATGTATTCCGATATATAGCATGCTCCTAAATGACAACTAGGAAAATTAGATATATTCCGATGTATAGTATGCTGCCAAATGAAAATAAGTGATTATAGATGTATTCCTCTTTCACTCTAATGAAATAGGAATAATTGATAACAGAAAATTCAGGGGAAATGATAATAACTTCAGTGCTATATTCAGATTACTTTTAAATTGTTAAAACGTGTATACGTGTATATTTACAATACATGTAATAATTTTGTATTTATTGTATCATTTTATTTGAATCACAGTGCAGCAAATACCTATCTAGATTGTTTGAACAAAGTTGTCACTGACTGCAAATTGGATTCCGGCACTTCTGTTATAAGCCAAACCATCGCTGCTGCGAAACAGGCCCTTTCCCAGTATGGATGTGGAAGTGGTATGTATGCCAAAGCTTAACTATCTTTCATATTACTGGCTTCCAATGATCAATTGTCTACAATCTATTTCATATATTATTATATTTAAGAAGATGTGGTATGATTGCCAATGAGACAACTATTCACAAGAGTCCAAAGATATGTTACAGTAATCTAAGTTTTTTCCCTCTTGCAAAGTATAGAAACCTTTGACTTATCTAACCATTTACACAAGGGTCCATATCATTCCAAAACTTAAAATTATATTGAGATAAGTAATCTAACTTTTCATGATATCATGTAATACTACTACCATTGTCTCGGAACCAAGTGTGTGCTTTTCGTACACTGTCAATACCCAATATATCGTACTTCCAAAATTAAGTGCTCCTTTATTGCGATATGATGAATTTGGATTTTAATTATCAGTTCATAATTTATTTCTTAGATCAACATGATACGAAACATTCAAGGATCGTATTTGATTCATTTGAACACTTTTTTAGAGCATGAAGTTCTTCTACCTTTTTTTATACATGTTATACTAGTTGTCATTCAACAAATCACCAAATATTTTTTTTGATAACAAGTTTCAATACTCATTACTTTGTATTTATAACAAAAACATTTTTCTTTGCAGGAAATGGTGCTGGAAGTCATGTTTTCAACTTGGTTGCAATGGTTTCAGGACTTACATTTTATAGCTGTTTTAGATGAAATACTTTAATTTATTTGTAGTTACAAATCTACACGTAAAATATTTATAAAACAAAATTCAAACAAAAATACGAACAAACTCTTATATGGATACTTTCAGATATTGTTTATTGTCAACATTAACTTCTGAAATAAATGATTTGTACAGTTTTTGATAATTTTCTTTTTTTCTGTTTTTTTAATGATTCTTAGCTGTCAATTTTCTCCTTTGCAATATCTTTGTACGTTTTGGCAGTTAAGTTTATTAACAGGTTATATGCATTCCCATGGACAACAATTACGCCCCTTTAATAGCAGAATGTTCCTGAATTGTTATGAATCACTGTCTATTCTGCTTTTAATTGATAGATTTGATAACACTTACCGTTACCTTGATGATAAGTTTGATTTAGATAATCCAGTTTTTTTTTATATTACTGTGGAAATAAACCAAAGGGAGCTTGCTTTACATTTTATTACATACAGCATTAATTGTCCTTTTCTATATTTGGATATTTTAGCTTCACATTGGAAACTATATATACAAATGTACGACCAAAAAAAATGTTTTTTCGTTCCCTATTATGGTCGGTGATATTCCTTTGACCCCTCCTTAAGGTGTGTATATTCCAAACTTGTTCGCTATTCTCGTGTCAGTAAATGCGTTTTAGATGACAATGAGCGAAATATTAAGTAAATGATTTCGTTACCACAAATTAATCAAACTGTTACTAAATTCCTTTATAAATCCAAAGACTTCTCAGAAAGTTTGGCTGTACCTGTAGAAGAGAGGCGAAAGATACCAAAGGGACATTAAAACTCAAAAGTCGAAAATATTTTGACAACGCAATGGCAAAAAAAAAAACCAAGACGATAAGACAAACAACAGTACAAAAGCACAACACAGAAAACACTAAAGAGTGGGCAACACGAACCCCAGAAGAACTTAGGGCGATTTCATGTGCTCCGGAAGGGTAGGCTGATCCTGCTCCACTAGTGACACCCGTCGTGTTGCTCATGTTAGTATAAACGGTTATAACTCTAATTTGATAGGTTCCATTCAGAGAGGGAAGACGGGGGTTGGTTATTAAAAACGGGAGATAGCATCCTAAATTTTACGGTTATATTGTTTATAAGCAAGTTTCTTTTTACACGTTCTATCTGATCTACAGATGGATATTTTGTAAACAAGATTTTTATTTGAGATTTTATAAATTTTCACTCCCTCCATCCCCTTTCACCACCTTAAGCTTTTTTGTTCATTTTGATGTTTGTTAGATGTACATTTATACTTGTTATTCATTACAATTGTATTTTGTAGATATACATATTTTAAGTTGTGAGCATCTTCATTTCTAAATGCTTATGTTGCAGGTGTTACACTTAGCATTTCAATATTTTTATATGGCTTGGCTTAGTTGACCCCTTCCTAGGCCACGCTATTGTATTCTGTATAATGATATTATCGTTTTATGTTTTTTGTTCATTATTATCTTGTTGTACAAATGTATATGTACAATGTATTTATTGTTTATTTTTATATGAAAACAATTTTTACTCTGAATAAGTAAACAATTCACAATTCACCTTCTTGTTTCTCTTTTCATTTATGCATTGGCCAATAGAATGTAAAATACATGAGATACTTTCTGACGCATACAAGTAAATGTTGAACATCTGGTGGTCTGTTTGGGTTGAAGGAGGAAAGCATGCAAAGCCTATACTTCATGCAGTACATTTACATACGATCTGTGTAAACTTATTTATCCGTTGAATAACCTAATTCTTAAAGATTATCAGTTTAGCACTGTAGTGAAATAAATTAAACCAACAAGTTATTAATTAAATGCGTCAGTTTAAGAGGTGTTCAGATAAAATAAAAAAGGCCGTTTCACACTAAACGTTGTTTACTAGTTGGAGTCACCTTGCATGTTATGCATAATAGACGCAATGCATAAATAAGACATACTTCTGTTATCTGCATACGAAAACCTTCTTTCCCTTTGTTTTGAATTTAGCTTTATTCGATCTTATGAGGACAGGAAAATGTCGTTTATTTGGGGTTTTATTCTAATAACACTTGGCGGAAAGATACAAATTGATAACCAAAAATATTCACGAAGATTCGTAGTATTTCTATTATATTTTTGTTGTTGATCTGCTGTGTATCGGAATGCGGTTAAAGGTCAACTGTATACCGTGTGATTCTCAAATGAAAAACCGCAGTAATTTTGAGACACATTAAACACATTGTTTTGTTATTCTTTAAAAAAAAACCTTTAGATGTTTCCTTTGAAATGAAGAAAATACTGCTTTGTATAGTTTGCGCAAGCTTAATCAGAAGATACTATTGACTCTATTCAATTTTAATCTTTAAAACCGATAAAAAATGCTTCTATCTCAAATAATTCTCCGATATTTTTGTTAATAAAAAAAGTCAGATATTATAGTTACTATTGAAAAATAATATCACAGTTTCCCAAGTAAAATGCTGAAACAGCATTATTGTGGATGGTGCATGTTTTTTCTATTGATTAAGAATAATTTGGATCTGCCTAATGGTATCGTTATCATTACATTTCACTCAAATTATACCAAAGCTACCATATACAGGTTAATGAAATCTTTATTCAGAAGTTTACAAAACGTAACATAAATGGTGTTATAAGCTTTTTATAAAATTTTTTTTTATTATGTTATAGAGTCAAATTACAGACAAGACAGTTAGTGTTACTGTTGTTCCTTTAAATAAAAATCGAATTATGAGAACATGAAGATGCTTCAAAACAGAATTTTGGTAAAATTTGGAAGATATCAGTAATTTTCCAAAACATTTATATAAAGAACATATGTTATAACCATCACACAAATTCTATTGGAAGTAATTCTATATTATGCTTTATGCTATATCCTTTTACACATAGTTTTATAAAAACTTGTGAAATTTGAATTTTTTTTTTTTTTTAATTTACTTGACTTAATCAACCTGAGGGGTGCCACTAAGATGAGCATAATCTTCTTAATCCTATTGTAATATTGTCTTTTTCATACTTGAGTTTTCTGTAAAGTATTTAAGACAGTTTTCTTATCCAACTTTCTATTTTGATGATATTAAATTAAACTAACAAATTTAAATATGATATGCTAAAACTCGAGAAAATTCGTATATCTTTCAACAGCAAGTCTTTACGCTTAGTATACCAACAAAATCAACTAAACTGGTTCTTTCTTTTGAAACTCTTGAGATGTTAAATATTCACTAACCTTTTACAAAGGATATCGATTCGTACTTAATTTTATGGTGAGAAGTCATGAAACCTGTTTGAACTGCTGTTTCTGATTTTTGTTTTCTTTAGCAGCATTATACATACACCAGCTCTTGCTACCTTACCTAACTTCCCAGAACTAAAATGCATAAATTTACTAAAGTTACGATTTGTTTCTAACAAACTGAATTTTTTACATGGCTTCGATAAATCAGTACTACGATTTGATATCATAACATGAGTGGTTTTATGCTTTTCCAAATAATAAACGTCTTTTATTTTTTTGGTTAAATATTTCATGTAGGTGAAATTTGCAAGTTTTTATTTTGTGTTTAAAAAGTGAAAACAATACATTATAAACGTCATGCGTCCGAAGCGCTTTTCTGGATTCACCCTCATCAGCAACGCTCAATGCCAAATATTTGAAAGCCAAAACAGGTAATAATCAATGAGAAGTGAATCATTTTCAATAGATGTGCTGAATATTTATTGACAATAGTTAAACAACAATCCTTTAAAATCTAAATAAGATGTCAGACTGTTGATGTGATAACTGATAAATGAATGAATGATTTTCACATGAAATAAATATATGGGTCTAGATTTCCACACAATTTCAATAAACGAAAAGGGGTTGTTTTTAAACCTAGCAGGACGAACGTCACCAACAGCGTATTTTTATCCTCATCTTTTTTCCCACTATCACCACAAACACACACTACACATTTTCCGTGCAGAAAAAGAAAATCACGAGTGACCGAATAATCTGGACGAATACTCATTGAACAATAAAAAAAAATGTAACAGGTTAAGAAACTGAGTAGAGAAATTTACATGAAAGGCTTATACTGGCAAATGGGTAAAAGAAACTTTACACGTGCAATATTTCAACTCTGTACAGGAATAACACCCACATTTTTTACAGCATTGTTTTGTGAGAGTGTAGAGTTTGACGCTTACATGTATAGCAACGTTTTTTTTTTTTATCTTTTATTTGTTTTCAATAGTCAGGATTTTACAATACCCCTACAATCACCACCTGACTATGGTTTTTGGGGTAAACATTGAAAGTTATATACAAGACTATCCATTTTTTTTAATTTATATTCATTGTCATAATTCAAGAATATAGTTATTAAAGAAAAAAAAAATTAAATAAATAAATAAATAAATATAGCTGCTCACACTCACACTTTCTCTCACTACTTATACGCAGTCACTGCAATCTTACCATTAGTATGCATATAATATAATATATAAAGTAAAAATCAAATATCAACTGCTCACTATAGTATAATTTAAAGTATAAATGATAATAAATCATGAAAAAATTGTATGTAGTGGGGACCAGAATCTTTCATAAGATGCTGCTCTATTATTTTTGTTTGCAATATAAAATTCATTAGATTGGTATTGTTTTATTCTGGATTTAAGTCCTATAAAACTAGGAGCTATATTTCATAACTTACATCTAAAGATATAGTTTTTAGCTATAATAATTAACAAATTTATAAACAAACTCTTAGTAATAAATTCCAGTAAAATTTCCATCATACTGATGCTGAATTGCTCATCAAATAATTTGATTTTCCGTAAAAATGACAACCAAAAATTGTATGTAACATTACAATTATAAAATAAATGTTCTATTGTTTCCTCTACATGTATAGCAACGTTGTACAAAGGAAAAACTACTATCGTTTAGTAGGTAAATTATTTTTTTAGATCCACTTTCGTTAGATTCATATCGTGTCAATAGATAATTGAATTCATTGGGTATTTAAGGAGCTAAAATATTATTTTTACTCATGTCTTGTCGAAAATACCCATTGGTAGTGTTAGAATTTTCCACGGTGCAAGCAACAGAATTCGGATAACAATTTATCAGAAATCGGTACACCAGATGCAATTTTTATTTTTTTATTTTTATCAATAATAACTTCCAGTACTAGTACACAGCATAATGTACACAAATGTAATAGCAATATATGATATATAAATGTACTATTCTTATCTGCTCAATATATCTTTGTTACGAAGCAATTATATTTCTTTACTGATAGATATAAGAAGATGTGGTATGAGTGCCAATGAGACAACTCTCCATCCAAGTCAAAATTTATAAAAGTAAACCATTATAGGTCACAGTACGGTCTTCAACACGGAGCCTTGGCTCACACCGAACAGTAAGCTATAAAGGGCCCCAAAAAATTACTAGTGTAAAACCATTCAAACGGAAAAACCAACGGTCTAATCTATATAAAAAAACGAGAAACGAGAAACACTTATGAACCACATCAACAAACGACAACTACTGAACATCAGATTCCTGACTTAGGACAGGTGCAAACAAATGCAGCGGGTTTAAACGTTTTAATGGTACCAAACCTTCACCCTTTTTCTGAAACAATAGTGTAACATCACAACATAGAAAGACACACTATAAAATATCAACTGAAATAGCTTAACTCAATCAAAGGACATATTAACACCATTGAACATACACTGAACAAATAAATTTGACCTATGACACAATGTAAATACAAAAAAAAAATAAACTAAGGGAAGAATAATAAAAGTAACATATTATATCGGTAAGAAATGTTAAACAATTAAAGAAAAACAATATGCTCGAACAAAAATACCATCCATTTGCAATAACTTTAAACACAGGTAAATGAAAATAATTTGTTGTTAGGTATACGTGTACAATACCAAATAGTACTATTAACAGTTTTTTTTTCAAACATCTGGTATTATGTATATATATATTGTTTTATGATAAGAAAAGAGTATTTTCTGTATTGCCTTTTGATATTTTTGCAATGTTACCAAACAAAAACACTTCTTTTGTAAAAAGAACACTAATTCCATAGGTCAGAAACCAATTTTCAATATGTTCTAATAATAGCTGTATATGTTCAGAATCCCAAAATAAATTTTCTAATGTTTGAATTGTTGGTAGCTAAGATTCGATGATTGAATCTATACTAGCTGCAGACGCTGTATCTTGGTATTTTTTTGCAGATTCAATAGTTACCCGGAACAGCGGACATAAATAAGCTGAACACAATAGTAAAATCACTGTGTTAATGGAAATGTGGAACACTGATCCGATATATTTGTTTGTAGTGATAGCCGGTTATAGACTAGGGTATGTAAAGGGAGATATCTATGTTCTTCGTAAACCTACAGGAATTTACAAGTTTCTTTATAAAATAGGACGGTTTAAATTATACATGAAAGACAATTTCAATCATTGTACTCGCCTATATCTTCCTGATCGCATGTTTCTTTTATTAGATTGCATTCTATGATTAA